GATCCTGGAGTCCCGGGATCGAGTCCCGCATCGGGCTCCCTGCTCGGCAGGGAGTCTGCTTCTCCCTCTGACCCTCCTCCCTCTCATGCTCTCTGGCTCTCATTCTCTCTGTCTCAAATAAATAAAATCGTTAAAAAAAAATAAATAAAATCAAGGTGTTTGCAGTGCTACGCTCCTTCTAAAGGTTCTAGGGAAGAACTCCCCTTGCTTCTTCCTAGCAAGGATACTGGCAATCTTTAACATTCCTTAGCTTGTAGTTGCATTGCTCTAGTCTCTGCCTCTGTCATTACATGACCTTTACCCCTGTTTTTCTATGGTGTCTTTACATGATTTCTTTTTTTAAAAAAAATAATTTAGAGAGAGAGAGTGGTGCTAGAGGGGGGAGGGTCAGAGGGAGAGGGAGAGAGTCCCCAGCAGACTCCACGCTGAGCGCAAAGCCTGATATGGGGCTCGATCTCATGACCCTGAGATCAGGACCTGAGCCAAAACCAAGAGTCGGATGCTTAACCAACTGCACCACCCAGGTGCCCTTATATGGCTTTCTTATAATGACACTAGCCATTGGATTTAGGGCCCATTGTAATCTAGTATGACCTCATCTTAACTTGGTTACTTCCGCAAAGACTGTATTTTCAAATATGGTCATATTCACAGGTGCCAGGGGTTAGAACTTGAACATATTTTTTTCAGGGACACAATTCAGCCTACAACAATGAGACATCTAAGTTCAGACAACAGAGAACCAATGCTATTCTATATTAATTTTGTCAGTCTATGAGACAACTCCCATGGTCAAGCATATAGTTTAAAACTCTTTGGGAGGGGTGCCTGGGTGGCTCAGTCGGTTAAGCGGCTGCCTTCGGCTCGGGTCATGATCCCGGGGTCCTGGGATCGAGCCCCATGTTGGGCTCCCTGCTCAGTGGGGAGTCTGCTTCTCCCTCTCCCTCTGCCTGCTTCTCTGCCTACTTGTGCTATCTCTCTGTCAAATAAATAAATAAAATCTTTAAAAAAAAATAATAAAACTCTTTGGGAAAAGGCATTGTCCTGAGTTTTAATCGGCTTTGGAGAGAGAGAGGAGTAGAAGAATGAAAGCCTAAGACCTGTCCAGTCTGTACTTTTTATCTCAGTCCAACTTTGGTGTTGCCTTGATATTACTGGGCCTAGGCTATTATTCCTATAGAAATAATGGTAAAGGGCATATATTACCTTAAAAAAATGGGGGAAAGGTAAGAATAAAATTTTAAAGTTTCCTAAAGAAATTCTCTCATTCCTGCCACTGTCTCTGTCTCTTCAGCCCCCATCCTAAATGCCCATACATAAATCAGCCTTCAGCCACTTGTAGGGATTTCTCACAGTATTTTTGGTTTGCTTATTTTTTTAATTTTTTGTTGGTATTTATTGTTAGGAACGTTATTCTCTCCATTTTGTAATTTCTGTAGAGCTGATTTTGGGACTCACCATCTTCATGGTGATTGATAATCCTGCCATAATGTTTAATCTGAAATCTTAATGTTTTATTCACAGGGAGGAATACAATTTTTTCATCTATAATTTGGAAGCAAAGTAAAATAACAAAATGAAGCCAGCAAAACATCTGTTAGCCTCTAGTAATAAATTGACAAATGTTCCAGAATTCACTTACAAAAAAGGACTGTTGAATTTACCATTGTCACCTAAACCAAAGGAAAAACATAGTACAAAATTAGTACGTGATAAACTTGAACCAATGGTCTTAGGATCTCCACCAACAGGGGAATCCATCATAAGGTATGCTTTGCCCATTCCATCAAGTAAGACAAAGGAGTTAATAGCAGAAGATGAATTGATCAGGAAAATTACCAAACATCTGAAGATGGTAAGACACTTGTTGGTCCTTGTGTTTGGGGTCCCCATGACCAGCGCCAGGCTTAGTGATTTGTTAGGAAGGTGCACTAGACTCAAAATATAGTCCTGTTGATGGCTAAGATTTATTACGGTGAAAGGGTACAAAGCAAAATCAGCAAAAGGAAAAGGCTTATGGGGTGAAGACTGGAGGAAACTAGGTACAAGATTCCTCTTCCTTTAAAGTCACACAGGATGTGCTTAATTCCTCCAACAACACATTATGACAACACGTGAAATGTCTGTTGGAGAAGCTCATTAGAGACTCAGTGCCCAAAGTTTTATTGGATACTTTGCCTAGCATGTACCGAAATTCCAGACTCCTGAAGGAAAGCAGATGTTTAGCATAAACCACATTGTGCAGACAGTTTAGGGACAATGAGCCACCGTTACCAGTGAATGATGGGAACACACCTAAAATCCAAGTACTGAGACACCAGTCCAACGCCAGCCTTGAAAGCAGATCTTTCTAACAATAGGCCTTTCTAAGTCTTATTCCTGCTATGCTAACTCTTCTCAGCACTTTAGAAACTTTCGCTCTTAGTGTTGGGGAAAAAAAAATTTCCTTTCTCTCTGAGTTTCTCTTTGCACAATGATCCAGAATTAAATTGTGGTTGTACCAAATACCAAATGAGAACAATGAGGAGTAGTACAAATATAAAAAGAACATAGTTTGTCAAATTTCCAAAATAGAAATTTCCTCAGAGTTTGAGGCGTTGGCTCAGAGAATTTCCTTTATGGCTCTTTGGTTTCCATTTCTGTTTTGCCCACTTCTCTTCAAAGAAGAAAGTTGAGTCAGTCATATTTTGAGGAATACTTTGGTAATAAGTGGAGTTGATGCTTCAACTATTCATAGTCTTTTACATGCCTGTCAACACAGAAATAAGAGTCATAGGGACTTTCTCCATTGCTAGGGAGTAGATAGAGTCAAGGACTGTTTCTCATCATTTCTTTATGGTGATTATGAGATGGGGTGTGAGATGGAAAATTTAAGTTTGTGGCACTGGCAGAATTAAGTCTCACTGCTAAGAAGGTCCTGACATGTTTGATTAAATGTCTGTTTACATTTAATATAATAATTTTAAACTATAAAAATACTTAATTTTCTTTGATTCACTCACAGATTGTTTCTACTTTGGAAGAAACCTATGGATTTGGCATTCAAAATGGAGAAAAATCAGTTGTGAAGCCTGAACCTGAGGAATTAACTTTATCGGTAAGTATATGTAACCCTAATGTAGAGACATTAACACTGAAAAGGGTTAAGATTTTCTTTTGGATTCCATTTATATTCTCAGAATGAATTCCCCATCCATGAAAATGACCCAGTTAGGGAACTTGAAAGTAGAGTACTTATTTTTCTATCCTCTGCTTAAAGTTTAATTAAGACATATCTATATTCTAAACCTACTTTTATTGTTAATTCCTATTCTATTTAATTTTTAAACATTTGGTTACTTGTTGGTTTGAGTTGTATATTCCTTATCATGTTAAGAAAGTATTCTTCTATTTCTATTTTGCTAAAAAATAAAACAAAACCAAGAAGTTATTGAGTGTTAGCAAATGTCTGGTATATAGTGAAGTTATGTAACTGTTAAGGTGATTAAGTATGTGGTTCTCCTTTAATCTATTGAGGAGTTGAATTACTTTACACATTTCATAATATTCAACTGTACTTTTAATACTTGTAGAGTATTATTTTTCTAATTACTTTTGTTAGGGATTGAGTTTGGCTCCATGTAATAAAATAGCTATGCTGAGTCTTTCAATTCGTGAACATGGTATGTCTCTCCATTTATTTAGATCTTGTTTGATTCTTTTATCACCAAATTATAATTTTCATCATACAGATCCTATACATGGTTTGTTAGATTTATGCATTTATATTTCATGTTTTTTAGAATGATTTTTAATAGCACTGTTTTTAATTTTAGTTTCCACATGTTTGTTACTAGTATATAGAAATATGATTGATTTTTATATGTTTATCTGATATCTTGCAATCTTATTCAATGTACTTTTTCATTCTAGATTTTCTATAGATTTCTTGGAATTTTCTACATAGACAATTATATCATTCTCAGATAGAGACAGTTTTACTTCTTCCTGTCCAGTCTGAATGCTTTTTATTTCTTTCTCTTGTGCTGGCTCTGGCTTCCAGCATTATATTTAATAATAGTGATGAGAACAGATATCTTTGACTCATTGCGACTGCTACTTCCAGACAGGAATGGAAGTTCAGTTCCCTGCTTAATTTCACCAGCACCACTCTGGTGGGGGAATTGGAGGGCCAGTTTTCACTGCCATATTATTTTTCAGCCCTACTGACACATACAGGTAGAGGTGCACTTTTTTTCTTGGTGTTTGGCTCAGGTAGGATAGGTATTGTCAGAAAGTTTTTGGATTATGCTAGAGATGCCTTTTCACAGTCCTTTGACTTTTCTTTC